TCGGTTCGACACGGCTGGACTAGATGTCGTGAGTTCATTCGAAATCATTTTCGATACAGCTCTTGTGCAGCTCATTGTAGATGAAACCAACAGATATGCTAAGCAAGAAATTTCTAAAAGTGCCCATCCTCTCACATTTCGATCTAGGATTAGGAAGTGGCAAGATGTCACAGTAGACGAAATTTACGTGGTTTTGGCTCTATTTATGTTGATGGGCATTGTTCAAAAGCCTACAATCAGATCTTATTATGCAAAGAACCGGCTGCTGTACACTCCGTTCTCAACTTCTGATCCATTTGCTCCCATTGGTCACACACAGAGAGCTCATCTTATAAGGTAAGATTACAAAACCATCTTTTAAGAGGATTTCAGTGAAAAATTCATAATTATATCTCGTATAGTTCAAAAGTTATTGAAAAAAAAGTATTTTACAGCAAAATTTAAATGGACATTTAAAAAAACTACCGCCATCACAGCACAACAGCGGTATATGCTGGGTATTTAAACTTTCCGCGTCAACAGGTTAACTCTGAGCCGCGTGAAACGTATTTCTTCCTTCATGAAGGAACTGTTATAAAAAGTCTGGATTTGGAATTTTGTTTTGAAGGTGTAGTCCAAAATGTCCAGTAGAGACCACCTGAGCAGGTTGGGTCAGTGCTAATGTATTTTTTTTAGTCATTTGGGGCATTTTTTCTCTCTCTCTGAGAAGATTATAAGTTTTTATCAATTCTGCATACTCATCTTTGGATATCATATAATGCCATGTAACAAGTTTGGTACATCCAACATCATTAAATATCTGTACGTCTGCCACTGTGAACCACAATTAAATACAAATTCAAATTGAACAGAACAAGTTGCGTTTATCTGTAGTAAAACATTCTTGGACTGTATGGAACTTCGACAGTATGTTATTTCATAAAATTGCTTATACTCACTTCCCTTTGCAAGAAAAATAAATTAATGTGAAATTTGATTACTACATATTTGAGTGTGTGGTAAAATGTTATAACACATTTTTATGAAGCACCTATTTCATACCAACAAAGTGACAGTCTCCTTGAATATTAGGTTCGATGTAAGTAGAATTTATGAGTACATTAGAATTTAATGTTCTCACTGCAGTGAGTACAAAGATGGCTGTCTTCTGGGTTGTAGCGTGGTCATCACCCTGCTGATGGAGGCAGTATGGACCTCTAAAACTTTGGTAAACTTCTTCCATACTACAAGATGCTACAATCCAGAAGCTGGCTGTCTTTGTGCAAATACATATATCAAAATGATTTATAATTTAGGAAAGAAAAATGTGTTTGTAATGGAAAGAAACTCTCTAAATCAGTGGTCCCCAACCTTTTTGTGCCTACGGGCACATTTGAGAGTTTATGAGATCGTGGCGGACACCAACCAATTAACAAAGCCAAATTTTCTTTTCTCTGGACAAATAAGATATGGACACAAATTAATACACAAAACAACATGATGTTTAATGATACAAGAAACCATGCAATCAAAAATACGTAGTTTTATAAGTACAATTATTATTACTCAAGAAGGAAGTTAGTGTGATGTTTGGCACCGCATTTCATCAGCCATTTTTTCAAATTTGGGAGTGTAGGATGATGCTGCTCGCAAACAATCGTCAAGATGGGCGTCAGTAAGTCGAGATCTGTGCTTTGATTTTATAATGTTCATGGTTAAATGGCCTTGATTATTCAGTATAACTTCTTTCCGTAACAACGTGGGCACCCAAAAGAAAGCCTTGGCGGGCACCATGGCGCCCGCGGGCGCCGCGTTGGGGACCACTGCTCTACATAATGGAGCCAATTTATTGATAAAGGCAGCGATATTTTTTTGCAAAACCAGTAAGGAATTTTTGGTTCCAGTAAGCATAATGCCTAATAAAGCAGACACATGAAAATATGTGTAATCAAAAAAGTTGGTAAAAGGAGAACCCTTGCAGTATATTGTTTCACATCTCAGTGCAACTTCAGAATAACATTACAAAATAATTGTCATAAGATAATCGAGGTCTATATGCAAGTTCACACAGCATCACAACACAGAGGACCATCGGTAAATATATCGCCTTTAAAAAGTTACTGTAAAACAAGACTGTCTGGTGAAGTGTTTACACAAAAGTGGGTATTTATTAAACCCCAGTTGTACAAATGATAGAAATCACATCCTTAAGTTGATGTAGTTAAGAAATATTTGAATTTGATTAGCTTTATTGCTTGTGGCAGAATATTGGGCAAGGGTAGCAACATCAGTTGTTGATAACGAATTGAATGATTATGTCATGGTATGGTGTTATGTTCTATCACTAATATAATCTAAACCTTAACTGTAATACCAAGTATTGTAGTGTAGTGATTAGTGTATAGTTTTAATGGACATTTATTAGAATGTAGCGTACACAGTGTAAAGAAATGTGTATGTTACAGGCAATGTATAGAATGCCTAAAGTCAGTAGGCAAAGTATGGAATAAATCGTAATGTTAATATTGTTTGGTTGTGTAAATTAAAATTAATCAAAGTCGATTGGGTAAGCTGTCATGATGGAGGTTGTGCGAGATAGTCGCGAAAACATGAACGTAACAAAAGTATTGAGAATTTAATAACAGTTGTTTTATATACTAACCTAACCTAACAAAAGTTTTGAGAATTAATTTATATTAAGTTTTTGCAAATAAATAGTATTACAGAAACTTCTGTGTTATATGTAAGACTTGAGGTTCTCACAGCGGTGAGTATGAAGATATCCGTCTTCTGGGTTATTGCGCTGTGAAGTCTGGTCGATGTTAACCAACGTTTCAGAGGTCATACTGCCTCTGTCATCATCGCCCTGATGACGGAGGCAGTATGACCTCTGAAACGTTGCTAAACATCGACCAGACTATACAGCGCAACAACCCAGAAGACAGAAATCTTCAGACTCACCGCCCTGATGACGGAGGCAGTATGACCTCTGAAACGTTGCTAAACATCGACCAGACTATACAGCGCAACAACCCAGAAGACAGAAATCTTCAGACTCACCGCCCTGATGACGGAGGCAGTATGACCTCTGAAACGTTGCTAAACATCGACCAGACTATACAGCGCAACAACCCAGAAGACGGATATCTTCTGTGTTATATACTTTGCTTAAAGAATCAGGTATTTTATAAAGTTCCTAGGTATTCTATAGAATACTTAGGCAATAAACTATTGGTTTCATACATTGCCTAAAAGTTCTAGGCATTTTATAAAATACCTTGGCGTTCCATAGAATGGCTGAATTTCAAACTTTGCCTCTGACTTTAGGAATTCTATACATTGCCGAATTTCATAGTTTGCTCGTAACATATGCATTGGGTCTCGGACCTGCACATGATCTTTGCATCGACACCAGACCCCTACCCTACCGACAGAGTTACGAGGGAGCACGTGCAATCGAGCAAAGTATAGCCTTTACTTTAATTTTGCTGTCGGGCTTAGAAGTTATCATTAATTTACTTTTTTTTCTTTTCAAATTAGGCATACATATTAGTGTCTGATTAATAAATAATTGTAATTAATGGAATGTGAGAGGAGTAAGAAAGCAATCTTGGTCTATTTCAAGGCATTATCCTTTCACTTAGTAATTTCAGTATTGCTGATATTCAAATTAAGTGCCGGAAAAGCAATCTGGCATATTAACTACGATGATGATGTGTTCGTTGATCGGTTTTTATCAGTGGGTACATCGAAATGACATAACATGTTCCACTGTTTGTTGCAGGTGGGACAAACAGTGTCGCACAGACACGTGAAACATATGATCCTACATATTGTTCAGTAAAACTCCCTGAACCTCAGCCACTTGCACCCATGGATGCAGAAACTGCTGAAAGGCAAGTAGACTTTTCAGATTACTCGTTTTCTTTTTCATCATCTTCATCCATGGACTTTGCCACTTTGTTGTCATTACAGGGAAATTCCAGTTTTAGATTTTTCAGTCTAAAGTATTCCTGCATATTGTTTATTTTTATGTAATCTCATTCAAAACTCCATATAAAATAATACATTGTTCGCCCCAGTTTAGTGTTTTTTTTAAAAAAAAGATAGTACCCCCGTTTAAGGAATGAAGCTAATTCCATGCATTGGATCTTGACTCTTGTTCAGTGTTCATGTGAACGTCGTGTGTGCAATTTTTTTTATCATCATCATCATAATTTTGTTCAAAGCTGCAAGGAATACAAATCCTACATTTTGAAATTGTTTTTATGACTGAAGGAGCCATGTTCTGTTTTATTTTTATATAATCTCTATTTAAAGTTTTTCTTGATTTAAGGTACAAAATGCTTGTTCCCCAGACAGATATTAATTGAGAGTTTCACTGTAACTTATTCACCATTTTTTATCTATCTTTTTACACTCATTTTATTTTTATATTTATCTCCAGGTAGTTCTTGTTCTCGTCAGCATGTAACTGTTGTTTCTCGCCTTCCAGTTTATCTTAATTTCTACAGTAATTTATGTAGACATCTTAACTTTAGTTCTCTCACTTACTCTTGGTCATGCTTCTTAAGAATCAAATAATTTACAGTCTTCTTAATCTATTTCAGTTCGTGTCTGTCAGTTGCATATTGTAGCGGTACTGGTATGAGATGGCTTTTATGCAAAGTGATCTTTTTTTTCTCAAAGAGATGTCTGATCAACTTTGTAGATGGTACCAACAGTCAAAAGACTTGTGATTTTCATATATTTTCTGACAAAGTACTAACTGTTAATGTTTTTGGTATGGCGCCATGCTGTTTTGATAGAAACATCCAAATATTTGGATTTTTTGTACTTCTAGATGGAGGCAGTCACAGAAAGAATAGACTTATGAAAGTTAATATTTAATTTCATTGCTTTTTATTAGGTGCTCTGAATGGCTGTAGCATAAGCAAAGAATGCGTATGGGCTATGTATACAACTGATCATGCTGTCACCTGTCAGTGGCCATATGAACTCTGTAGTTACCTGTCTAGTGGTCAGAACACTAGCCTTGTAAGCCTGGGGTCCCGGGTTCAATTCCCGGTGGTGCTCAAATTTATAACTTGTGTTGGGCAAGGCCGTGGTCTAGGCATCACGGAGTTTTCCTCCGTGGCATCCCAACAATTACTCCATTCACACACAGAAGAAGGCAATGGCAAACCACTTCTGGATCATCTCTGCCAAGAATGTATATATGTATGAGCAGGTCCCTGACAACCTGAAGAGGTTGGAAGGATCCTGTTCATAATATATGGACCTGTCGTCAGACAGAACACTACAAATAAAAATAAAATAAAGCCTTATGTGCTGTTTGATACTACACCCATTTGGTATGGGATCCTTCATGTTGATGGCATTGCCAGTAATACTTCATGTTAGTGCTGTCACCCAACCTGTCCTCCCCCACTGATGCATATATCATTGACCCCAGACAACTCTCATGTCACACAATTTGCAAAAATCAAGAGGTCTCTTTCGACATGATTTAACCTGGGAGGAATTGAATGCTAGGCTAGTACATAACCATTCATAAAGGTGAAAATTTGGTTAATACTGTCTTCTCTGAATGTATGGGGTGGGACTGGCTGAGACCCCCAGCCCATTAATTTCTACCTTTTGTGGGGGGGGGGGTTAATCCAACGCCCTGGAGGCCCCTCACATCACTGCTGGCTTTGAGTTCGCCCACAGAAGTGACTGGGTGAAGAATACCATGGCAACCATGAAGGGTAGGTAATCTGTGATGTCATTATTACGCAGTTAGGATCAAGCCTAGGATCTTTGAATACAGGGCTGGTACTCTAACATCTAGACTACCAGGGCGAACCTCCTTTTATTGCTGCCTATCTAGGTTTTTGGGGCTGATGCAACCAAGACCATGGGTCCACTTTAATATTTCCTGCCTTGTGTGTGGGATGTGGTCAGACCAGATCTTGCAATCCCCATCAACACTGCCCACCATGAGTCTGTATGTAGAAGGGACTCAACATTGAATCCACAGCTGTGCATCCCCAAGAGGATTCCTCCATGATGTCATCCATTTGTATTGAAACGAAGATCTTTTTATAATACTAGGCTAATATAACTGCTATAATAACATCCAGCTGACTACTGCCATCTATTACAGGCTGTGTTAACTATTTTGTATGCTGCCATCTGTTAATGGCCATACAAACTATTTGATATTATACCGAATAGATGTGGCTTGAAGAACCTTTAAACTTTTGTGTACTCTGCAGAATATATCTTTCCAGTCTTTTAACCTTTATCTTACTAGCATTCCCAGTCTGGGACATAAGTTGTGTACTCAGCCCTACGAACGTTCCCGGTGCGGAACTCAAAACTTGCAACATTGTAAGTAGACTTGGCTACGTCTTTTGGCCTCTTTTAGGGGCTGCAAATATTGAATCACTTTCTCTAGGGTTCTGACAAGTTCAGCCTGAGCTGTCGACCAGGGAAATATGACCGTAAACAGCAATAAACATTGTTATTGTCAAGTGGGTTTTGGCTTCATTTTCAGACCCCCTATTCAAAATTTCTCACATTCTTCCTCATGATGGGTGAAAAGAATGTGTATCCACTGAAGTAGCAGAAAAAAATTTTTCTGCGTGGTCATTAGTTCACAACCAGGGCTTCTATCATGTCGAATGAGCTTCCAAAGAAGAAAGTAAAGTTACTAAGGCCTATTTAGGCAATTAAGATATTAACTGCATTATTAAAAAAAACTATGTATTCTCTGTTCTATTCAAATAAATATGACTTTTATTTCGTCAATTTATCATGTTTACTTTAGATAATATTAAAGTTTTTCGTAGAGCGTGCACAAAAGTTAAAAACCTGCAGAGAAACTCCGTAGGGCTGCTACCACTTTGCCATTTAAATTCCCGTCATTTAAAGGTTAATAATATTTATAATAAGCGTTGCTTCCTTCAGTGTGGACATCAGATGTAAAGAGTATCGAAAGGAGTAGGGAGGTATTGAATAGGCTAACGTAACGTTAGAGAAATGATTTCTGGTAGATGAAATCAGAATTTTATTGTCTCAGAAGAAAATTTATTGTTACCATCATTGACATTACGTATTGTTTGTCTTTCATCAGTATGTACAGCAACTTGGAGCTTCGGAAATTATCATTGGAATGTTTTTAAGCTTGTCATTATTTATATTTTATTGAACAGGTTAGCTTGGTGGCAAAATTCGTGACATATGTAAGAGCTACTTTGTCCAAATCTTGGTGAAGAAACCAGCATTCACACTTCTTTTAGTGGAACAGTATTTTATGAGGCTGTGACCGCTTCCAGATCCTGCCCTGCTGCTCATTCATGATCATCTTCACATCAGGTCCAGTGCAATGTAATCATTATAATTGAATCAAACATTTTTTTTGCTGATCCAGGTTGTTCATTGTGTGTCACCCCTTGCCACCGCCAATGTTTGCCATGAGAGATGTGTTTGGCCGCTTTGGGAATCTCATCGATGTGTACATGCTGAGTGGAAAGAACTGCGGCTACGCAAAATATGCCAGCAAGGAGGCAGCTGAACAAGCTATACAGGTGAGTTTCTGATGTTTTGAACATCTTAGCAGTGCCAGCGGTAATATTTCTAAATGTCCCTTTAATTTTTTTGTAGTGGAATTTTTAAATTTATTTTCAGCCCATATGAAAAAACTGAATATTTTGTAATCTTATTTTATTGTCAGTACGTTATACACATTTGGGATACTAAGAATCAGATTAACCCTTGGGTTTGTGTCGACGTACCGGCTCGTCCTGCATTTAAATCGAAAGCTGAGTGTTCGCCGTACGTTCTCATCCGGCTGTAAGCCTAATTTCAAACGCCCATAATTATGGAAACAATAACGAATTCTTAATGAAGTTTGCAGTGTTCTCTCGTGAAACAATTGTTCTTTCTATTCATGTATTGGCAACATCGCATTTCTTTGATCTGAGCTGGCAAGTGTACGTATGAATGCGTGACCTCATGGTTTCGAAAACCTCTGCTTTTTGACATGCACATCTCATCCATGTGATGTGTGTGGAAATCGTGGTCTCTCTTTTTATTATACAAGGTCTAAACTCCTGTATTCTCTGAATTCTGACAAAACTCTTCTTCCTTTTTCAGTTTTTGATGCTCACAAAGGGAATGTTTCTTTGTTGATTTGTAGGGTTCCAACACAGTCCTTTATATACAGGGCTAGTTTAAATGATGTTCCCGATTTGAAAGACACGTTACTCACGTTTGATGAAATTCAGATGCACAAAATTGGTACCAATGGAAAGAGAAACTCTCCAAGTTTATGTCGGTATACTTCGCGGCCGCATGGTAACACTGTTTGCCGCCAGGGGTGATATGAGAGAAAATGGCTGCCATTGAAGACAGGGGAGCCCTTTGTGTCCTGGATTTCCACATTCACCGGTCTGTTATTAGTGTGCAACGGCATTTCTGAACCAAGTTTGCGGCAGATCCACCCAGTGGACATACAATTCGTAAGTGGTATTCCGAATTTAAGAAAAGGGGCTGCTTATGTAAGAGAAAGTCAACCGGCCGCCCATCAGTAAGCGAGGAAACGGTGCTGGGAGGAACTCGACTACAGGCTGGATGTGTGCCGAGTTACCAAGGGGGCTCACATTGAACACCTGTGATGTACTGAAACAAAACTTGGAGAGTTTCTCTTTCCGTCGGTACCAATTTTGTGCATCTGAATTTCATTAAACGTGAGTAGCATGTCTTTCAAATCGGGAACATCATTTAGACTAGTCCTGTGTGTGTATATGTATATATATAGAAAACATGCTAACCCTGGAGAATTATAAAAATTGTCCGTCCAGAGAGTGTGACTGTGGCCCAACACAGGCTCAACAAGGTTGATCACTGTATAAATTATGAAAGACCATTCATGTCCGTTGCGTGATTCATAGAAGTTGTAAAGGTGTGAAGATCAAGCAGTTCTTGCTATAATATGATTTTTGTGTTGATTTCTATAAAATTACCATCAATCTGAAGAGGACAGAAATATGTCTCGTCCACTGTAACGTCCTGCCATTTTATGGTCCTGTAGTAGAATGTGAATGGCATTACACGTCTTGAAATATTCTGCCGTGCATGTTAGTTGCATCTATACACGGTGCTGCAAAAAATGTAATGAGGTTGGAATGAAATAAAAGTTGTCAGTGGAACCACGGTTCCGGAGAATTTGACGTAAATACATCTATACGGAAAGGAAGTTTATATATTGGCTTTATTCTAAATATTTCCTTTATACCCGCTTTACAATTGAGTAAAGTTTGATTAAGACTTTGCTTATTTAACTAGAATTAGTTACGCTTAAGATGGGTCTGTGGTAGATGAATGTAATGTAAAGTAATGTAATGTAAGGTAAGGTAATGTAAGGTAAGGTAAGGTAATGTAACGTAAGGTAATGTAATGTAAGGTAAAGTAATGTAATGTAACGTTTCCTAGGTAACAACAATACTAAGTAAACAGATGAGGTTTCCTAGGTAACATAACAATGAAGTTACACTTTTTCGATTCCCTTTTCCGTTTCCCTTTTTCGTTTCCCTTTTTCGTAACACATTTTTGCCGAATGGCCCTTCCTTATAAACGTATTTACGTAAAAAAATGTAGCGTCGTAATGCTAGCGAATATAAAAACATTATTTTTATGCAATCTATTCCAATTAAACTGAAATGTAAAACTCTGTCCATCCCAACAATGCGGTATGAGTGTCATTCTGGAAAAAGCTGCTATAAACGCATTGAAGTGTGACTTTGGCAGTTCGCTAACTGTAACCAGTTGGGATTTCATTGTTGTTTTATATGGACGTGCTTTGTGCATTGTGTATTATTGCATCATCAGAAACCGCACAACGGAACACGTCAACATCTAGTTTTGCGTTAAGCTGGGGAAAGCCCCGCTGAAGCGCGTGAAATGTTACGAACAGCTTATGGGTGTGAGGCTTTGTCCCCAGCACAAACGTTTCAATTGTTCAACCTTTTCAAGAGGCCAGAGAATATGTGAAAGATGAACCTTGCAGTGGAGGACTGAAAATGACCTCCCAACTCTGAAATAGTGGCCAAAGTGGGCAATTTACTTTAAAGAGACTGACTGCTGACTGACATTCAAAATGATTGCAAGGGAACTAAATGTTAATAAAGAATTGATTAGGACCATAGTTATCACAGATTGCAACCATACGGGACAAATGCTAAAGAAGAAGAAGATAGTTATCACAGACTTGGAACATTCTGGTCGGCAGCTCTTGCATGACAACGCGCCTGCACTGCGCTTATTCGAGTCTTGGGAAAAGAAATTTCTCATGAGATTTTCGACCGGTGTATGGGACCGGTGCCAACCCAGCATCGTGAGGAAATTGGGGAGCTACAATGAGTAGCGTAATCCGGTCAGGAAAGCTAGCAATGGCTGGGGGTTTGTCACCGTATATCTGATTGGATGATCGTTCACCTCTGCTTAGGCATGTGAACGTGAGGCCAGCAGCCAGCTAGTCGGCTTTGGCTCTCAGAGGGCTGTTACGCCACGGATTATTATTTATGATGAAGGATTCAGACTAGCTGTTGGTGTGGTGGTAACCTTGGATAAGAGAATAACTGCCAAGCCAAACAAAGAAAATTGAGCTTCTACTCAGGCTTTGACGTCACAATCAGCATGGCCAGGCGCTTTAAGATGTTGCACATTTACAAATTTGGAACAAAATGCACTTCCAGATGAAAATAAAATAAAAATAATGATGCATCTGACAACATGCTTATTACCCGTTTCCCTCAAAATAGTCTCTGAGGGACTTGATACACTTATTACAGAATTCATATAATCATTGGAATGACTTGGCAAACTCAGCTGCTGTGATGGTATTCAGTTCTGCCATCACATTATATCCTGGCCAATACACATGAACTCTTCTATATGAGGTGCGATCGGAAGGTTTCCAGACTGCGCGTATAAAAACATGTACACTTATCTCAGGTATTAAATTCATCCATCACCCTCGAAGTAGTTCCCCTGGGAGTGACCACAACGATCCCTGCGCCGCTGCCAAGCCTGGAAGCATCCCTGGAAATCTTTCTTTCTCAGCCTGTCAAGCACCATCTGCGATTCTGCCTGAATCTCTTGCCAAAGACTCGCCAAAACGGCTACGGAAACCTATGAAATGCTAAAGCAAGCATTTGGGGAGTCCGCAAACTTTTGTGTGGCATTCACGTTTTAAAAATGGCCGAACCTCTGGCGATGATGACGAGCGTTCTGGACGACCATCTTCGAGCACAACGCCCGAAAATGTTACCAAGATTCGGCAGGCCATTCACGAAGATCGACGTCGTACCATCAACGACTTGTGCGACATTGCTGGGATAGGCTATGGGACCTGTCAGCTGATTCTAAAGGAAGAACTCCACATGCGAAACCAAGGCTCCTGTCTGAGGACCAGAAGCAGAATCGACTTCTCGTTTGTCAGGAACTCAAAGATCTTGCAAGAACCGACCCAAACTTCCTTTCTAAGCCAAAGAAAGATTTCCAGGGATGCTTCCAGGCTTGGCAGCGGCGCTGTGATCGTTGTGTTCACTCCCAGGGGAACTACTTCGAGGGTGATGGATGAATTTAATACCTGAGATAAGTGTACGGGTTTTTATAGGCGCAGTCTGGAAACTTTCCGAGCACCTCGTATCACCTGTATTCATGTGTTGTAATATAGCCATAAGATAAATAAATCACATTATTATGAGTAGAATATTATACTGACACTTTGATTCCTGTTGCAGACACTTCATGGTCAAGAAGTATGTGGCATTCGGTTAAAAGTGATGGCTGCTGATCCTCGTAATGACGACCGCAGGAAGAGGTTGCGTATAGATGACCATGATCTGTAGAGGTAAGTTCATAAATTCACTTTGCATAATTCAGGCATGTCTTAATGTTATGACAGTTTGAATCTTAATTTTAATTGAAACTTTTTTAAAGAGCTTTATTTTTTATTTTGGTGTAGATGTATAATGCTTATTATGAGATTAAGAGCATTCCAGTCATTTCAACATAGATTTTAGATTTTGTATGTGTTGCCAAAATCAGTAAGGCCAGTAATTGGTTGTGTCGCCATCGGTGGACTAGTGGTTAGCGTGCTCCCCACTGGACACAAAGTTCGCGGGTTCAAACCCGGCCGAGGTTGATGGATTTTAAAGGGTGATAAAAATCCTTAGCTCAACTTCCTTCGGAAGTCGGCGGTCCCATGTCGTAGATTTACAGCATGTAAAAGAACCTTACGAGCATGATGAGATGTTTCGTAAGCAAAATTCAGTGGCCATTTCTCACCCAAGTCTCTCCTTATTCACTGCTAGATGGCTCTAGCAGACAAATCAGGATTGAGTAGAAATTGTGCAGTCAGTGAGCTGGTCACTCACTACTCACAAATGCACACTTCAAATCTAAGAAACCTCCAAAAGGAGGCGGCAAAGATCCACACTGTGTTGTAGGGCTGAGGAAGAAGAAGAAGTAGTAGTAGTAGTAGTAGTAGTAGTAGTAGTAGTTGGTTGCGTGGTGAGTTATAAGTGGGGTGTTCATTTATATGTTATATGAAGGCTTATGTGACGTGTCAGCTGACACAAACAAAGGATCTGCATTTTAATTTTTAATAATATTCAACTCTATATTTGATACTTTCTTTATCTTCAAAAATGGAATGACAACATAATGTGGTGTAATGGATTTAACCAAAATTTTAATATAGTATTCAAACTCAAAAAAATGTACGTTTTGTTTGAGTACATACATAATACTTCGGAGAAGATATATGTTATACACTTCATTGGGTTATGAATATACTCAAGCGCACATATATGGTATACCTATTTTTAGACACGTTCATAACTAAACATCGCAAAAATGTGCATGTTGGCTTTACTGTGTCTGTCTGCATTTAATGACTTGAGAACTCTTTACGTTATCTGTGGCACAGCGCTAACTATGTCTTCCTTAATAAGTGAAGTAATTTTATGTCTGCTGTTCCTTCTGATTGGATTCTGTTCTGACCAAGTCAGTATTTTTACGTGATAAGGTGGCGACTGACTTGTAACATTTGCCTGTAATGTAACGTGTTACAAATCGAGCATTACACAAGTGAAGACAGCGAACGGAGCCGCTCACGCTCGCGGGCACTCCATCGTGTTGTCGGTTTTTTCCCGAATCCCTTTGAGTGTTACGTTACAAGTCAGTCAGTCAGTCGAGCATTCGATACGCCTCATCAGTTGTGGTGTAATGTAACATGCTCGCCGCGAATGTTACATTATGAGTAAATGTTACAAATCAGTCGCCACCTATATGCGGCACACGGCGTGTAACACAGTTATGTGACCAAATCGTCACTGGCTGACCAGACTTGTTTGAAAAATAATAGCCAAGTCCGTTCCATTATGATTACAGCAGCGTCACTCAATGAGGGAAGTTTTCATCGTCTGTTCTGTTACTTAGGACCAATCTGTCACCTCTTCTCCGTATCATGTGGCGGCTAAAATCTTTTGAGCAGATATTTGGCCTTAAGAGAGATGAAGGGACAGGAGGCTGGAGAAAATGCATAATGTGGTCCTTTATAGTTTGTACTGTTCACCGTATAACATTAGTGATCAAATCAAGGAGGATGAGGTGGGCAGGACATGCAGCAGGCATGAAAGGGATGAAATATTCATACAAAAATTTGGTTCGGAAGCCTGATAGGAACAGACTACTCGGAATATGAAGGCGTAGGTTGGAGGATAATTTTAAAATGTATGTTAGGGAAATTTGGTTTTGGGGGTGTGGATTAGATTCATTTGGCTCAGGATAGGGTCCAGTGACAGTGTCTTGGTAATAGGTGTTTGAGTTTCATAAAATGTCGATACTTATTGAGTAGCTAAGCAACTATTAGCTTCTTAAGGAGGACTGTGCGCCTGAGGATGGTGAAAGAGCCATCTACTGAGATGTAGTGGTTTAAAGAAGCACAATAGCTATTAAAAAAGTAAAATAAATTTTCAAATTTGTAAGTAAATGTGGTTTATTTTAGGAATGATTTTAATAATTACCTGGACAGACTTATGAAGACTATGAGACAGTTTGCCAGTGACATTTATACCAATTGCAATCGCAATGCGTGGTAGTTGTGTAGTAGTGAATTGACGTGCCTGGATGCCTACATTTCTGTGTTAGAGATGGCTGTTCTTTGACATGTACCATTACAACTTGACATTCATTTTCGTCCATAACAAGACTGAGTATTGTAATTGTTGTTCCTATGTATATCCTTCAATAAAACATTTCCTGTGTTCCCTTGAAGTCTTTAAACTGGAGCGTTGCTGATATGTTGTCCTGGATAGGATTGAAATTCTAAGATACGTAATATCACTTACAAACAGGTTTTTTTTGTGTTTCATGTTAATCTCAGTTTATAGCACAATTTTCTTGGATTAGCAATGAAATGTTGTTGTTTTTCTAAGAATAGGACAAATTTTGACTCTGGACACTTGTTCGGAGGGTTCGAAATTTCGTCCTGAACTACATTTTTATATGTACAGATTGAAGCGTTTGGCATCAGTGCTTTGAATTCCTTTCAGCCACTTGTGTGATCTCAGACCATGAACTGAGTATTACCATAAATGGAGATGTTTGTTGCCATGAGGCAATTGTTATTTGTATTCTGTAATTAGACAGTATTATACATATTTGAAGGGGCAGAAAGTACATCTGGAATATGAGAAAAGTTGACCCGTTCTTTTGGATATGGAACAATTTGTGCTCTAGCATATCGCTACGAAATGTTTGTGTTTACATTAAACTACTATGGAGGTTTTGTGAGGCTTACGTAGCTTGGTTATCCAAGTAGAATGTAGACTTCAGAGGTAGGCAACTGAAATAAACTCTTAATGTGTTGCTTAAACTAAATCTCGGACGAAAATTTTACCTCCATCAAAATTAAAACCGAGAGAGTTCAAATGACACTTGTAAAGAGATATTTGAAGGGTGGGCCACAAATGAAAATGAAGAATGGAAGCAAACAGTTTACTGAAATTATCCGAGCGTGTTGTAAAGATAGACGCAAAGCTGATATGTGTTAGTCCTGAATTCCTCTGTCAGGGATTGGCACCACGTGGTACAGTTCCTGCGTTTATGTGCAATGTCTAATATGAGGTTTGACGTTCTCATAATGATGAAGATGCTGGTTGTGTATAGTCTTACATCTGGTTACCTGTGTTTCGCAGGAATGTGTCTCCATCTTAAGAGTAAAGTGAATCAAAATGGAGATATGAGTAATTTGTGTAAGGGGGGGGGGGGGGGCGGGGGGGGGAGGGGGGAATGAGGAGAAAAGGAAAGAATGGTGACACAGAGCTTTAGAAAAGGCAGTTTCCACATCCTCTTGGTCACACTTTGCAACCTTCTTCGTTTCTTCATTACAGTAAAGATATAAGGCAGTTGTGCTGTGGCATGACCTTTCTGCTGTCTGTGATAATATCAGTTGGCATAACTGTGTTTTGGCATCAGTAATGAGAAGTGATATATACGCTCTTTTGCTATGTTTGCAGGTGACTGTTATGTAAAATTCCCTTTGTGTTGAACATTTATTATTATTGAATAAAAATTTTCGTGGATATTATCCATCGTCTAGTAAATATAAAACGTAAAACGACGTTTCGGAGATGAGACTCTATCTCCGTCTTCAGGTTCCTACACAGTTTTATCCACTAGATAGAGTTATACACGAGTATTGGATATTTTTTTGTGAAGTGTAGGTTTATTGGGCAGTGTCATAGAAAATTCAGAAGAAAGGTCCCTAGGGTTGGAATTACCCATGCAAAAACTATTCAGAATCTTGTCTTACAATAAGAGTGACTGTTACATTAATAGAGAGGAATACAAAACAATTAATTTCAAGTATTAATAGAACTTCATATACAGAGTGATTCAAAAGGTTAGAGCCAAACTGAAGGAGCATATAGAGGGACTCAGAGAGAACAACTTTCGAATAGGAGTTTATGTCCTCCGAAGTTATCCTGAGTCATTCGAGGCCGTTGAAATTAGGGAAGTCTGATAACATTCACCTGTTGTAAATTTGGTTCGTAGGATTGCTAATGTAATCCTTGTACATTAATAAAGAAACAAAATACGATTATTTCAGCCCTAACCTTTTGAATCATCCTGTATAAGATATGGATTTTATGTGCTTCAGTATCTGTTGTCTTGTTTAGTTGAAACAAAACCTTGTCTGAAAAGGAGTCAACACAGGATTAAATTCTTCATTATGAATTGACTGAAGTTACCAGTTACAGGAATTATGTCTGGCTTCTGGATCATGTAGCTGCAAAGCGGAGATTATTTTTGGTTTTATGAGGCCATAGTATCAATAATTTTATAGCTGTTTTTGTGGTCTTGTATAATAATCCTGTTTCTTGTGAAGGTGCCTAAGAGTGAATGTTCAAACCAAACTGAAATCACCCAACTTTTCTTCCGTTAATAGTCAGCAGTGTTTTTGGTTTCCTGCATATTAACGTGCCATTTGCTTCAATTTTATTGACAAAGTTCTGAATTGTGTTTCTATGCAAAACTCCGCCCGATAACATTCTACTGAATTTTCTCTGACACTTCGTAGTTGGCTTACACATCATGTAAGATTGATACGGAAATATTCTGTGCTCAAGCGTAAACTTATCCATGTTCATCAGAAAGCAAAAACTTTCACAGCACTGAGTCATATGGGAAAGAATATTACATGGGAGTATAATACCACTACTTCGTCGTATCGCTGCTGTTGACTTGAAGCATCTCGCGGCACCTGATGCAGTAATTGCATAAAGGAGGATGGCCATGCTTTGGCACAGTCACCAAATATAATTCCTGTGCTTTCGCTTGGCCTCCGTTGGCCCTCTGTTCCGAATAGAATATCCTCTTTGTCACTTTTCTTTCTTTCTTTCTTTCTTTCTTTATACCCATCATTTTACCTGTGTTCCTTTTGTCATCATTCCCAGTGGCCACCCTGCTAAAATAAATTCCCATCTTGATTCACTTCTACCCCAAGGATGAAGAGACTATATTCCCTCAGAGCTTTGGTAATCACATACAAGACTACATGACTTCACATCCCAGAAGAATCACAATCGACAAAGCTGATTGCATCACTGGATTTGATTAAACCATGCTGTAGTCTTGCGTAGAGACATGAAATGATGACTTGATCAGAAATGTGATTAAGTCACGTGTCTCGACAAACTGTTGTTACGTTTCGGATAGCATTTTACAGCCTCTGTGAACCGACATTACACAGAACACTGCCGCATATTGGTTCCCTGCACCGTGAATAGTTTTGTGGTATATGGTTTAATTTATTTTGTGTGTATGTTGGTACAGATTTGTTTTTATCTTTGTCAAACATTTTGAAGCGTATTCAAATGCAGTGCCTAATTTCCAGTATTTACGGCTCATAAAATGTTAATTATCTTTGTTCTGTGTGTGTAAGTGGTCCTTTTTTTTTCCCCGCTGTGTGTTTCCTTTCCAATGATATGTGTATGTTCTGTCCACAGCACCACTTCTATACAGACGTGACAAGAGACGGACCGGACAGAAGAAAAAGACCGAACAGAGGAACGAACCCATGACTCCCCATGTTTAGCGTATGACAGTGCACTTCACACAACTGCTACCAACTTTGACAGGAAAGAACTGGGCTTGAAGGGCAGAATAAAACATGTTAAAAGACATTTTGGTTGTTTGGGGTAACTTTGTCTTGTGGGTTTTGAGACCATCTGACAAGTCAGGACAGAGTATATCGTATATGTATGTAATTGTATGACTTTTCAGTGAGACACTTTGAACTACGTGTTTATTGCCTGTGTTGTTAGTTACATTGACTGAGGTGTGGGTCATTTCACAAGTCATTTTGCTAGTATTGACTATAGACGTGGAATTTTACATTTGTGAAGCTGAAATAGAATGTCGTCAGACAAACTTATGCAGTCGGGAGAGAGGAAAAATTTCTTTCATCTTATTAGTAAATTTAAGAACACACAGTCGTAATGACTTTCAGTCTTGTTGTAGTAGACTGTGGGCTGATTGTGCTTCAGAGGAATAATCTCTTCAGAAGGAGTATGAAATTACTCCAGGGTGTCTGTATCAAGATTAAAGAAAAATATTTATTACGAACTTTATGCAGCAGTCATGGGGTTGATTAAAAATCATTGCAATATGTCACAGCCCTCAGACTTCACACTGATGATTCAGAGCTCAAATTGTCGTTGACATCATTGCGATTATCCTGTCGCGAGGTAGATGAAGATCAGAAAGGTTTAAAGGCGTTTGAGATATGTTTGTGCTTTTAGATGTTGGGATCTGTTGCTTTGGCTCAATCCAGTTTTCTTTTTCTACAACAGTCAGTCGCCGTGCTTCGATTATGTGCATTAGTTTTTTGCCATTAAGCACATCTTTTACTTCAACACCTTTGGAAGTAACCGGCCGGCATCACGTTTCCCAGCAGAAGGAATTCGGTTAGATTGCGGGTACAGTGAGCCTGAGGAGTATACACAGGCTTATTGACCTGTGTCTGAACTGTGGCTTTGGATTACAATCAAAACATGGCATTTCATCAAACTTTAATGGGAAAATGCAAAAATTTTATTTTATTAAATGGTTATATTGCAAATGGAAAATATACTTCTGAAGTATCATATTTTCTTGTGTCTAAGGCATGTGCATGGACACGTTTAATTATTTTTTGGATTTAAGAATTGAAAGAATCACCTAACTGTATATATCTCACTTTGAAATAAATAAAGTGTAGGTAGTGAGAAATCTAGTTAAAAGATTGTGTAGTATGAGATGCTTAAAAAATTAGGCAGGCGTAGTTAGCATTCATTGCTGCAGGTGGTATTTTATGATGAAACTGGTTCAGACACACCCATATTTTATATCAGTTAGATGATGGCATGTTCGTTGGTGGCTTTTCTTCAAGATCAACAGAAAACAAAATTCGTAATTAGAAATCGTCGACACACTCAGTTTGCGTGCATATGTCTTCTGGTTTGTTGGTTTTTGTATTACAGTAACAAATACACCCTAGTTATGTGTATGTTTTCAGTATTACACATGGCTTAATTTTAAGAACAAATAATTTTGAAAATACTGTATGTTATATACAAGTAAATACAGTATGTAGACTGCGTGGCTGTCTCGGAGAAAGAAATTGTCTCGCTGTTCTTGGGCACATAACATTGAATATAAGCAATTTTGATGCTTCAGAATTAATATTTTAACAGTCCCCCTTGTTCACAAAATAATAGGAGGGGAGGGGAGCCGTGTGGTTTGTAGGAAGCACGGTATGTATTGCACGAGTTGGATGGGCGTTGTGGTTAGTATGGAGGCATGATTTTGCCTTCCTTGTTCTATAGAGAATTTAATTATTTGTGTATGAGGTGTGAATTGTTTTGAACACCTGCCAGATTATTGCTGTGTGAAGTTTATGGTTCCTAAATTTTATAAAATAACGGATTTAATGGACATTATCCATTTTCTTAATTTAGTTAAAAACACTGGATTTTGGAGACTGGAATCTGTCTCTGTCCTCAGGCAAAACCTGCTCTGTTAGGCCCAGTTGATAAGAGATTTTTCCTATCTCCATGATAGTCCCGAGCATGGGGACATACCCCAGCCTCTGAAACGTTGTGTTTTTAATTGAATTAAGATGATAGATAATGTCCAAGAAGTGTATTTTTTAATAATACAAATTTTTTTACAAATCTTATGATTTAAAATTTTGTAAGTTGTATTTCGTGTCACATTCTTTTGGTATCAATTTTTTGGGGATGTATTTTTCAATCATTTCTATTTACCCAAAATTGAAAATGCATAAATAAAACTATGGAAAATGTTGCATGATTTATATTGTCTTTGTCTGCCCAGTGTTCTCTAAAATACAAAATTGTTTTTAATCAAAATACACACGATATATCAGATCTAAGAAGTTTGTCCTTTATTGTGCCAGTCGTAGCATGCATAGCACGATCAGATGCAATTTAAACATTGACTTTCTGAATGTGCAGATTTAAAAATCTGCAGTTTTCCTTTTTACACAAACAAAATAATTTAATTAAAGTATTTTCAATAGTTGGATAACTCTGGATGTAGATGTGTTCATTGTGTTAGCTCATATAATAGTTGGAATGTTGATACAAAGAAGACTTTTGAAATGACCAACAGTTTATTTTATTACGTTCAAATGGCAGTTTTGCTTAAATATGTGCTTCTATGTAAGGCGTGATACCAACGGTTGTGAGATACAAAATGCCCTTCTCATTGAACTGACTAGCAGACAGAAAGTTTAGTTTCAGTTGTCTTCTGAGTTATGACGCTCCATAGACTTCTATAACCATATACATGACTGTGGTGTCGTAACTCATGATAAAAAATTCTCACCGCTGTGAAAACGTCGAATCTCGGGCAGATGAATTATTCTTAAAAGCAAAGTCATATCTATTTAGAAATCTTCAAGGTCCACGACGTGTGCTATTCTTTTAGAGTGAGTGTTACCAATCTCCCCCCCCACCAAAATATCTTGACACTGTTAAATCTTGTTAATTCTCAGTCAAAGGGTCATGGCTTTGATTTCTTGTCAGATGTAGGTGTAGATTTTCAGTGCATGGATTAAAATTTTAGCTCGTGTGAGAATGCGGAGAATACGAGGCTGTATCAGGATGTCGGTCCTCTCTGCTGGACGCCATTCTCGGCGTCTTCCGTCTATTCGTTGTTCCCATTTTAGAAATGGGCATACGCAAGTTTTTATCCCCTGTCTCTGGATACTTCGGTAATATGTATTGATAACTGTTCTTTAATTTTAAAAGTAGATGCTGTGTATAGAGTATTGCAGGTTAAGTCACTTGCCATTGTAAGTTTTTGTCAGTATATAATTTGGTGAAAATATTTAATAAAAAAAAATTTAATTTGTATTGCCAAGTCTTAAGGTAAATGTAGCCATATTTAGCTTAATCATTGTAGTGTAATAAATCTTTGTATAGAAATTAGTTTTTTTTTTCTAATTTAGTTTTTTGTATTTTTTCTCTGTTATCAAGATGCATGCTTTTCTGTATTATGATACTGGCTGTCAGATAGCGTTGGCATGAATCTTTCATATAGTTTGCAGCACATATAATCTTTCAAATAAATTGTGGGTAGCAAGGTAAATACATTCTGCATCCAGTGAACGACTGCTAATGATGTAACTTACGCTTTTGGTTGTTACCAGAAAATAACATAGAAAATAGCTCACCAGTATATTTTAAACGAATAAATGTGCTTTTTAATAACTGTTTCCTATGATTTATCAAAATACAAGTTGAACTGTTTTATTCCTCCATATTTCATTTCATCCAAAAAAAAAAGTTTTATTTTCAGTGACATATGAAGATGGCTGCCTTCTGTGTTCTTGTGCCATGTAGTCTGGAAGAAGTTACTGACATTTCACAGGTGCTTTCTGCCTCCATCATCAGGGTGATGCTCGATGATAAGGCAGTAAGCACCTCTGAAACGCCGGTAAACTTCTCCCAGACTACACGGTGCAACAACCCAGAAGACGGCTATCTTCAGACTCACCGCCGTGAAAACCTCAAATCCTACTCAGCTAAGATGTTTGCTAACTTCCTTCACATGTTAAATGTGTCAAATGTGAATTTCTGTATTCTTTTTAAATAAATGTAACATATAATTGATACTTTTTTGTTCCGAATTTGTTGACATTTTTATTTACCTTCTTAAAATTTTAATTGTGCAGAATATAGTGTGTGCCAGTTGCGTTCTTTGGTGTCATGATGCCATGCAATCTTGTAGGTGGTTACTAATGTTTCAGAGGAACATTAATAACCACATGGTGTTACGACCCAGAATATGGCGATTGATACTTTCAGTACAATAAGAACCTCTGGTTCAGAATATTGAATTTTTTCTTCAACATTTATATATTCAGACAAGACTTATTTATGTGTAAATTGTATTTTGTGAATTTAATATCATACCCCTTTGTAAAATGAGCCATCGTAGCTCAGTATAATGATTGGCTATGGGCTGGACATCCAGGGTTTGATCCCCGTTGGGGGCAGAGGATTTTTCCTCTAGCCTCTGTATCCAGACTGGCTCTGGGGGTACTTTCCCGGGGGTAAAGTGTGGTCGGAGCGTGATGCTGACCACTAACTCCCATCTACTGCCGAGGTCAAGAATGAGTAGGAGCTATGTACCTCTCCCCCAAGCGCCTACATGGCGTATAGTGGGACAGCTTTACTTTGCTCTTACTCCTGTGTATAAATGATAGACAAATGATGACAGAAATGAGTTGTATTATATGTTAACATATTCAAATTAGGAATGAATGAGAAATTAATTAGATGCTTGAAAGTGAGTTCTCTTCGCTCCTGAAACATTTCACATTCACTTGGACTGCAGACAACTGAACTGTCATGTGGGTGTGCTGCCATCTAGTTTTTCTCTGAAACAGCAGGTGATATTCACTATGATTACCAGATATTTTAAGTACTTTTCAAGTAGATAATTGTTGTTCTCCTGCATTGTTTAAAATGAAAATTGAAAGAATACATTTAAAATTTGTGAGTCTTGTTGTATTCGTGCTAATATTGTACTGGTGTTCTTTTGTAAATTCTTATGCCGTTTTAATACAATTTTTCTGCATAATGCATTTTAATTAGGTTGTTCCATAAAAAAAGTTCTACTGCATAATTATTTTGGCATACGTAAATTCAACAAACCTTGACTTTACTATTTATCATTAGTGTTAGTGGAGCATTTGTGACTGAGAAGTGTTTCAACATAAATAACTGTATATTAATTACTTTGCTTGGATGATGATGGATATTCTCGTACACTTCTTGATCTGTCTTAGTGAATTTAAAGTATTCGTTTGCATCTGGGTTTCTGTTAAGATAAAGATGTTTTCATCTATGAGTATACATATTTAATATAATTTAGTTCATATTTTGCTACCTGAAAATATATCTTACTGCCATGGTTAGACAAATTTATAGGGATTGGCTCTATTGATTGGGCCCAACAGAATATGTTTTACCTAAAGACGGAGATAGACTCCCATCTCCGAAACGTCATGGCTATATTGATTTTATTTCATCTTGGACGATGGATAATGTCTAGATCAATCGTATTCAACCTTTTTTGTTTGTGTACCCCTAGATATAATTTCCCTTCAACTTTGTACCCCCAAAGTTGTCGGTGTATAATTCAAGTTATACATAGTATATAATCTACATCTGAAATAAATTAAATAAATTACATTACTGATTATTCAGTGTTTATCATAAAATAATATATATTTTTTTTAAATTTCACGTACCCCCTAAGATGTCTTTGCGTACCCCAGGTTGAATACCACTGGTCTAGATAACGGTTTGCTTAAATTTATCAGAGATGTTTTACGTACATTTTGAATGTAATTGTAGTGCAGAAGAGTGGGTTCCCAACTGACCTGCCAGACACATATTTTACAGTAATTACATCTTTAACATGTAGTGCCTGTATCCTGTTTCAATTCAAACTGTATTATGGAAGAGTGAATCATTTGGACATTCGATAAGATTCCTTAGACAGGAAATAGATCCTTAGCAAGATCTCTACTTGCGTACGACTATAGAACACAGGAAAATGTGGGCATCATACTACATGCAATATTCAAATCTGCAACCACGGTATTCAAGTGGTCCAGCATTTCTTTTAGCCATATAATTATAACATTACTTCTTACTGAGGTTCAACGAATTTTGGATTTGCAGTAGGTGGATGCAAATTTAAATTTGTATTTAGTTTAGTTTCATTTAATCAGTTAATTCTGGTTGCTGAGAGTAAAAGTATAAATATTACAGAAACTTTATCCTTAAATCCCTTTGTATAGAGCAACTGGATGAGTTTGTAAATTAATATTTATGTGACATTGGTGAAGGAAGAGGAGGAATTTACAGAACATAATGGACAAGTTAGTGGAAACAGGTAGAGAGTATGGAATGGAAATCAACATTGAAAAATCAAAGGTAATGAGGATAGCACCGAGAGCAGAGCCATTGAACGTTGTAATTGGAAACCAACAGATGGAGAATGTGGAGCATTTCAAGTACTTGGGAACCATAATCACGACGGA